CCCCCACCCCGGGCCTCTGGTCCGCCCCACCGCTGGAAGTAACAACAACACAGAACTGTAATCATGAAAATAAATTCCCCCTCCGCTTGCCCCGCGCCTGCCCTGCCTCGCCGCTTTATACCCTGCACTTAGAAACCTATTTCTGTTTGCTCGTCTTCTCCCCCCCCCTCCACCTCCTCCCCACCCCCGGCACTATCCGACTGGATCAATACACCCGGGGACTGGGGGAGCACCCTGCACTGCACCCCTCGCCCCCACCACGCTCCAAGCTCCCGAGCCCACCAATCGGAAGTTTGTCGTCCCCAACTTCGCAGAACAACAGAAGGGGCCAGAACAGGGTCGGTCAAGGGGTTGGAGGAGAGGCGGCGGGCAAAGTGACGTCGTCCCTTGTTTGTAGCTATGTACATAGTTGTAGATGTGGACAAATGAAATTTTCCTCAAGGGTTCGAAAATGAGTTGTCGACTTCTTTAAGTATGTTGTTCTCAGAACTTCGAAAAGCCTATGAAACGTTCGTTGGTCCACGCTGCCGAACAACTATAGGGGTCTGAGTGGGTTGCTCTGAATGTACTTTCGATCGTGGGTGATACGTAAGCATTGGTAGCCGAGCCAGCCGAGCGCAGCGGTCTGTAGTCGGCTCGGATCAAGCTCGTGTCGAGGTTCCGTAGACAACCATGTATACTACGCAAACAAGGGGCGTGGGGAAGTGTAGCACTGCCAGCGAGCCGGGGGAACGGTGCTCGACGCTCGCAGCCCCGCAGCCCCACCCGAGGGAGGGAAGGGGGAACTTTTGGCCTCGGCCGCACGGGCGAGCCCGAAGTGGAAATACATTGGGGACGGGGGAGGGGAAGGAGAGGGGAGAAGTCCACATCGATCCCGAGCTTGTGGCGCGGCGCGGTGGACTACGCCAGCGCGGTGGAGCTCGACGGAGAGTGGGAGAGGAGAGTGGTGTACTCCTCCACCTCCTCTACCCGGCGGCGCGGCGGGAGCGGCCGCCTGTTCGTTCGCCCGTCCGGTTGATTCCCGCGCCACCCCCGTCCCTACCCCTACCCCCTCGCCCGTACCCCCTCGCCTCTACCCCCGCACGCCGCACGATTCCCTTGTGCGTCGTTGTAGTCCCCGGCCACTGCTGCTGACTAGCAGCTGCTGACGCAGGACGAATGCTACACTCCGGACTCGGAGAAATAAGAACATGAAGGATCGCAGACTGCTCGACCAATACTCCGCGCGCGTTAGATTATTCAAGAAATGTTTGTACATGGGTGTAACTGTGAATACGCAGCAGTGTTGCGGGATTGCATACTCAAACATGGCCACAGGGGCCATGGCCCCTTACGGGTGTAAAGAGTAGGCAAACCCGCAACACTGCTGTGTTTTCACAGTTACACCCGGTACATGGTTCGCGGTTTGCTATACCAGGAGGCTGGTATGAATCCCGCACGGCGCGGGTCATTGCGATCGCTCCTGCGACAATGGCGCCTTACGGGACAAGCGATAGGCAACACGCCCGCACGGATGAATCCGGTACAACAGGACTACAGAAAAGAGAGCGGGAATGACGCCCATGGGTTGAAGTTGGGAGACCATGGGACGGGCCTCGGGCTTCAAAAAGTCACCTCACGAGAACGTGAATAGCCACTGATAATAGGTCACATTCATGTACTTTGGGCGGGACCCAGGTACAAAAGTCAGTGGTCGATATCAATACAATCTAGTATAGGTGTTGAGGCGCACGAAGTGCGGTCTGCACGGCCAACGGCCATGATTGAAGAAATGCCCAACAGTGTTGGTAATCCCCGGTACTCCTCGGTACTCCCCGGTATTCATTAGTAACTGGTAATCGGTGGACGTCTTTTGAAATTGCCAGTAATACATCCTTTCTATTCGTTTTTATAGTCCGGTGTCCCTGGTACTTTATGATAATCACCAGGTAACCCTTGGTAATTAACGGGTAATCCCTGGTAATCACAAAGTAACCATTGGATAATCCTATGTCTATAGTTCCTCCAATACTGGAACTGACGGAGCGATTACCAGAGGAAATCTCTAGTAATCTTAAGTAATCTTTGGTAATCACGCACGGGTAATCGTGATCAAGCGTAATCATCAGTCATCTTTGATGATCATGAGTAATCATTTGTAATCTGTAGTCCTTGTAATCTTTAGGAACCAAAGATTACAATCCTTGATAATTTCGGTAAACTCTGGTAATCCTCGATAATCCGGTGTAAAACCCGTTTTTTTGTTGTTTTCAACCTCGGACTACGACTGTCGTTGGGGGAGTGATCGATGCATGCGCACTACAGTGGGACTACGCGCCACGCCACAGGAGAGACGCGTTCCATATTCATGAGCTGCCACGCTTGAATTATGCATACCGCCTCCCGTCCGGGACTATCGTGCCAGGACAGCTTCAGCGGACAGAGACGACAGAAATGTACGTACGACGACGTCGCCGATGAGACATTGTGTGACGAGGATAAAAACGGATAAAGACATTTGCATGAATAATCAGCAGTTGCATAAATTAATCAAGGCGAATGTTTACACACGAATAAATATTAATGAAGAAAGGCGTAATCGAGGCCAAATGAATATCATGGGTATTCATGTAGCGCGGGGTTTAATCATGAATGTGCAGGGGTTAGATAAGAGACCCGTTATCGAGAAGTTTTGCACTCCCACGACGTGGCGCTCTCTCTAAGCCCTCTAAGCTCGCCCGCAGTTACTAAGCCCCGGCCCTGGCCTTATCTCGCAGGTCCGGATGCACGAAGTCGGCCTGACCATAAAGTACACACGGTCGACTGTGATAAGAATCCTCACTCGAATGTTTTGAAAACTCCGCTTCTTTTTTAGAAATGTTTATATGCCCGGTGACTGGTTGGCCTATCCGCTTGCGACCGTAAGGGAACATCCAGAGCGTACGTCCGCATTTCTCAAATTCTTTCGGCAACTTACGGAAGCTTGGCGCCTGCGACACTCGGGGTAGGCCGGCCCGCAGTCCACGCATGCGCTGCTGGCAATGTGTTGCCTACCTACCAGGGGCTACGAGAGCCTCCATCGGCTCAACTGGGCAGTTTTGTGACGTGGCGAGCGACGGGCGTACTTTCTGGATGATTCCAAAGGCGCCGTTGTCAGAGGCGATAGGCAAGCCTGCCCCTCTCGCCTGCATTCAATGCACAGGGGTACAGGTATACCTATGAAAGCGAGCGGGCCGAGCAGGCACGTGTGCAGCATGGCGTACGCACGTGCAAGCAAATATTAGACGTATCACGCCTTCTTTCTGTCCAGCAAACCTCCTCCCCATTCCTTCTCACCATGAATTGCAAACCAGCTTATGACGACGTCATCATGCATAACAGACCGCAAAGCACTGAGGGAAATATTTCTGGCTGAGCACTATACGTCCAGTATCGGAAGCGAAGCTTTCTCGTTTGGACTGTACTATTAGCGCTGGGAGCTAAAAGCAGCACCCATTTTAGAGGTCAGCCCGAGAATTTTTTTTCTGCACAGCACAAACTCAATAGAGAGGCAATATCGAGGACATTTACTGAGTTGGGATAAAGTTGGCGGGCATTAGAGGAACGTTTACTGCCCGGCGGGAAATATTTCTCTCAGTGTGGGCGGACCGGTCCCAGAGCCCAGTGCTCGTCCGCTCCCGCTCCCCGCCCCAGCGGCGGCAGGCGGTGTACTCGACTCGTCCCCATGTTGTGGGTACCCCTTTCCCCGTCTCTCAGTAGCATCGGTGGTTCAGTGGTAGAATGCTCGCCTGCCACGCGGGCGGCCCGGGTTCGATTCCCGGCCGATGCACTTTTGCTCCCACGTTCCGTAGACTGTAGCAATTTCAACCTGCGAGACTTGAAAAAAAAATGCTTTCTGTATACTTTTGCCTGTCACATTTTTCGGGGAGTTATTTTCATGCGAGACTTACCTCCATGCAACACACGTTGTGGCTCGGAGCTCTGAAAACTTAAGTGTGGTACGGTCCAACAGTTATAAGTGTGATACCATGAGTATCACACTTGAAAGTGTATTACCACTATGTATCACATTTAAAAGTGTTGTACCACACATGTATCACACAAGGCTTCTATAGAGAAAATATTGGTGTGATGCGCGCGTGGTACTACACTTTTAAGTGTGATACATGTGCGGTACTACACTTAAAAGTGTGATACTCATGGTATTGCACTTGTAACTGTTGGACAGTATCACACTTGAGTTTCCTGAGAGAGCGAAGTTTCTCTAAAGACGAAACATGTACATGCTGGTATTTGTTGGCCACACATCTCTGTGGTATCACAACACAAACAGCTGTCGCGAGGAAAGTGCCCAAGTTAAAAGAGCGCCGTGTTACGTACGTTAGAAATAATCACCAATGATCTCCGAGCCAGGTTATCGCGTGAAGCCGTGGATCAGACGTGTTTGCAATGCACTAGAGATATGCGCCTGCGTCTTTCTAGGTAGGTACCTTGAGCCTTGAGCCCCCTCGCCACTTTATGCGAAGCGGTGATACTGTACCGCATGCGGGAGTGCGTGTGGGCTGCCTACCTCCACGGCGCGAGCTTGAGCTGCAGCGGCAGGCGCCCTCTCCGGAGTTAGTTGACAGCCAAACACCCTGCCCTATAGTGTTTTTCGGCTAACGGAGGAAGATGAAGAGCGAGTAGAACATAAACGTTCCCGTTTGGTCGAGAGATTCCCTCCTCGTTCTCGACTCGTTAAGCGTTAACACGGTAAACAAGTCGCACACGCGTTGCTCTCGGGAGCGAGCGACGCCTGCTTTCGTCACTATAGATTTGAGTGGGGATTTTGGAGAAGCTCTTTCATTTTAAACGACGAACGTCACTCAAAAGGAGCTGCGAGCTACGTTCCAAATCGCCAAACTAATATGGATGAATGCCCCCCGGGGGCGTGTCTCCCCCATCCCTTACAGCACCCCACCCCTCCTCCGCCCCTCGGCGCGGCCACCACGCGTAGCCCATGGATGGAACTATTACTCAAATGTAGCGACGATAACCGAACATCGTCAACGTTGGGACACGATAAATTCCACCTCTCTTTTCAGATCAGACACATATCTCTTGCAATGCCAGAGAGGAAGGTTATCATGAACCCACCTTATGTACCTAAGAGCTAATTTAGCGGCCACGATTTCCACATTCTCTGAGGTCTATCATTGTATTAAATAATTAATGTACACAATTTAAAAGGAAAATTTTCATTGTTTATTCTTTATAAGAATAGTTCCTAGCTAGAAAATATTGAGATGTATTAATAGTAGTTATTGTAAATAATTCATTGGTAATACACTTTCATAACAATCATGATTCTCATGAATTTAAGGCGTGCTATGCACATAACAATTTAAGTCAAAAACAGTTGAGGAGTTACTTGAAATTTTGTTTTACATAAGTGACCACAGTCAATAGTTGGTAAACCTAGAAAAGTCAAAGGTCAACTTCAAAAAGGATTGTAAGTGCAAAAGAACAACAAATTTTAAATTAAAAAAGTTAAGACACATAGCTATGGAGAGAAATATGTAAAAAAAACAACAAAAAAACAGTCCACAATGAGGTAATGGAAAACAACATTTACAAATTCTACCAATGAGAACGACTATTCATAAGAAATTGGCCATGGTCAGCTCTTATTTGAAAATGTTTGGAGAACACAGGATGAGATAGTTGTATGTCCATTTAAGTACAGCAACCAATTGGTCATAGGGTAAGTACAGATGAATAAAAAATCTTCATTAAAAGTAAACCAAGGTAACAGAAAAAAATATTAATAACAAGTTTAAGTTAATTTGTTGAGATAGCCTTGGAATAACAAATAACAGGATACCAGCAAATACAAATTGAAAGATCTAATTATAACAGTTCTGACTGACACTTCACCTGCTTTAGTTCCAGCATACAAAGCATCAAGGAAAAGGACTAGATTAATGCACAATGTAGTTTGTACCAGTACCATCAAAGGAGAGCTGACATCAATTTCGAGGGAACACCCTACCCAAGAATTCACGCCAACTGAAGCCCTATTTATCAATCATTGCAGATGAGGCACAATTTAAAAGTAATTAATTAAAAAAACAAAACAAAAAACAACCTAACAACAAATTAGTATTATAGCATCTAAGAATCATACAGACAGAAAAATAAGACGGCTTAGGGACTGTACCCTCAGAGAAAAGCAACCAAAATCGAAAACTAGAAAGGAACCATTTGATGTGAACATTTACATAGTTAGTTAAAACAGAAGATTAATTAATTTCATATTTAGCTCACAAAATGTGAACCAATCACAGAAAATTATCAGGCTGCTTTATCCAGTATTTTCAAAGTGGTATCATGACTAGAAGGTATGAGCATGTAATAGCGCTCTCATTACTTCCTCCATGACACTCAGAATAAATAGACTTTAAAATGTTCATATATCCAAAATTTTGCCCTATTACAGAGAAACAGAATAATTGTTCAGGGCACAAAAAAGTTTGAGCTAGACTAGTTAATGAAAAGTGGATACCCAAGGGGCTACATTTAATTATACTACCTCCTAGAAAATACATATCAGAAGATAAATCCACTAGTATGAGCATTATGAGCACAATGTAGGAATGTTAATAGACTGAGTTCAAGTAGCAAGTCACCTTTTTTAGAATACTGGAGCGCAAACAGCGCAAATCAATTTTGAAAAATACAAGGGTAGAAGTACTATACACATGCATACGTTTAATTCTACAAACTACCCATAGGTCTAATATTGAGAAAAGTAAGAAAAACGTCGCCTCAGAAGTAAACAGTACATCTTAAGCAAAGCTGAAGTCGAAACGACAGACTGCTTGTGTCCAGGTAGGAGAGCAGTCTTTACTTATTGTTTCTGAATCAACCAGATAATTGTCTAGGCAAAAAAAAGGACTTTAGAGATGGTTTGAGAACATTGATCGAAGTGACCAGAGTAAATATCATGGGGTTACAACTTTTAGATAGGTATCACAGCAAAATTGAAGGAATATTGAAAACAATACATTGTCTTATTACTCAAAAGAGTGACAAAAACACTCTAGATGATTGCATGCATGAGTATACAAGGCTACGAGTTGAATAACTGAAATTACACAACATTATAACAAGACTAAAATTTACAAGAAGAATAAAATAGGAACCCTCTTATGGGGTCAGGCAGCCATGGTCTTAAAAAATTCAACAAACAACAAGAAGAAATGACTTTGGAAGGATAAAACAAGTCAAGAAATCCAACCAAGTCAAGAAATCCAACTAAGTCAAGAAATCCAACTGACTAGTTCTTCTATTCAACACCAATTTGAAAAATTTATGGCAACTTTCAAAGCAACACTCTTTATTACAAAATACCTTACTCTCTTTTCAAAGATCGAATTGTTTGCAGTCAATTTAAAATAAGTAAATTGAAAAGGTGGTATTGATACCAAAAAAATTATTAAAACGGATACAACAACAAATCTTGAAAGTAGCAGCTTTTTAAAAATGTGTCAGAGAAGAAGATTATAAAAATTATAGAAAATTTCTTAAGACTAAATCAAGAAATTGGTTTGTTCTCTATGAAACAAAGGCTACCTAGCAGTCAGTGGTACGTACTAACACCTCAAAAAGAATTGAACCCTTTTGGCTTGGAATATTGCATCGGAAGGGTTGAATTCTTGTTGCACTGAGGGTACAGAGGTTTGAAAATTAAGTTTTCTGGAAACTGAAACCACAGGCACTGTTACAGCAAAAATGCTAAAATCCTATTCATATAAGGTCACAAAATGTAATTGAAATATGAGCAATTTCCATAGTTTTCTTGATTAACCATGACGACTTTTATGCTTAAAAACAAGATATGACAGTTTTACCAAAATGGTGTTGGTTTACTAGATAACAGTATTACAATGTCAGTATTTGGACTTGATGGTATTTACGAAGACCTTTGTTTAGCTCACATTTCCATTCCCAAGTGTTTGAAACATTTCTTTCTGAGCCTTGCGGCAGTTGCATAACCATTTAATAATACGGGCATTACGCTCAACAATGGATGGTTGTTCAACGTTCTTTCCACTATGGCCGCTGCCCATCATGCCCCCTGGGGTACCCGTAGTGCCTCCAGCACTAGTTGCAAGCCCACTTGCAGACCATGGTGCATTCCACCCGCCATTGTTGGAATCTACTGAACTAACACTTGAGAAGAAGACAGGGGAATCAGAGGAGTCTGACCGTGTCCGTGAAACATACCTGGTAAAGCAACATAAGTGTTTTTAAAAAATTATTAGAACCTACATTGTTAGATAAGGAGTGCAAAACAGCAAACTTACCGAAATTCAGTATTGTCCAACCCTAATTGTTCGAAAAAAATTTCAAGCTGAGCAGGATCTTGGCAAGGTGGAGACAAAGGAACATTAACAGACCCTGAGTAACGGTGACTGATATCTGACTTGGACCTTAAAATAGGTCTCCGTGGCTCAAAATTCCAACAGAGTTCAGCAACCCTATAAAACACAAAAGAGATAAATTTGAAATTTACCAGAAATCTATTTGAAAAATTGTGTTAAATCATTACAAGTCAATCATGTTTATCTGACGTACCTTGAGCATTGTGGAGGAGATGAATAATTTTCATGATCACTTTTGTGACTGCTGCCTCTGCTACCTAAACTTCCACGGCTCCCTCTACTTGCACGATTTCCATCCATTTCCTCCAAACTTGTATTGCGCATGCTATGGTATTGTGAGGTCGGTCTTGACCTATATCGTGGAGACCAGGAAGACATGCCACTTAAAGCAGCTGAAGAGCCCCCACTGCTCTGGCGTATCAAAGCTTCCTGTAGACACAAGATAAAGTTTAATATTTAGTTCAAGCAATTGTAGGTTTGTCTTTAATTTTTTAAATGTTTTACTCAATGTAAAATTAACTTACAGAAACTGTGTTTGCTCTTGACCGCCCCTCAGGTTGACTTCGGTGAGTACGGGTGCCAGATGATGAGCCTGAGCTATTACCCCTTCGTAATTCTCCCACACACATTTCTCTTGTGGCAGGTCCTGGAGCGGGCTGACTTCTATGACTTTGATGAGTGCGTCCACCAGAAGAAACAACACTCATTGAATCACCAGAGTAGTGCAGAGAACGACTGCCCCTTTGACTCCCACTAAACAGAGACAAGGAAAAAAAACAACTTAATATTTTACAGAAAATTAGGTAAAAGTTAACGTTATTGGAAGGCTTACCTTCTTCTATGAATGTAATCTGTATACCCACAACCATCACCACTATGACTGCTGGTTGAGCTACCACGATTGCTACTATTGTCAGATGACCAACGTGGGACTGAATGTCGGGTTGGAGTTGGGCTGGAATGTAAGTCAGGTAGGGATTTGTGAAGAGAAGCTGATGTTTGGTTAGACCATGTCCTTGAAGGACACGCCTGATGTGTTTGAGAATTCGATCTGCCATAACGAGAAATTGCCCTTTCACCAGCAACCTGTCACAGAAAACAAAAGCAATCAAATCACAGTTTATATTGAATTGCATAGCATACGGGGGAAGTGCAAAACCTTTTCGTAGTCCGTCTTACCGTGTGAGCGTCATCATCTCCACCGCCAGATGAATCATAGTACACATTCTCCTTGGAGTCTGCATTGAGCAGGCGCCGGAGTTTGGTTTGCAGGCGGTCCGACTGCAGCTGCTGCGAGGCGGCGCGCCGTTGCGCCCAAGTGGTCCCCGCGGCGCCTCCCAGGCGAGGGCTCTTGGGCATCACGAGGGAGCGGGGCGACAGGGCACCTGTCGGTCAGAAGGGTACAGTCAGGCCAAAAACAGCAGTACGTCCGACACATTTCAGTAACCATGGACGGGCACTGAAGACGGGGCTGGGCTGCAGAACGCCGCAGAACGACACTCACTCGTGCCCTCCTGGAAGCCCGGGGGCGCCGGCGGCATGGGCTCCGCGCCCAGCGGCGTGCAGGGCGACGACATGGGGATGGGGCTGGGCGGCGGCGAGAGCAGCGCCGCGCTGGTCACGCCCATCGGCCCCATGGGGACGGCGATGGGCGCCGACACGGGCCCCGCCGGCCCCAGGGGCGCCATGGGCACGGGCGAGCATGGCGGCGAGGAGGTGGGCCGCTGCAGCCGCTGCTGCCTGTCCCGGACGCAGTCCGACTTGACGTAGAAGGCCTTCGACTCCTGCAGCAGCTCCACCGCACTCTTTCGCTTGGCTGCGAGGGAAATATGGAAAACAAACGCGCGCGTTAGATCCACTTGCGCACGCAGAGTCAGACACTTTCCTTCACTCTTCTCAGAGTCTCGCCCGGCACACATCCATTAATTCATAAAGCGAACACGCCTGCGCCGATTGCATTAGAATTCCACACCACCTTTTCACTCCATCCGCATATCCCTCAGCAGCAGGCCCTCTCCTGCCCCCCGCTGCCTTCCAATACCCTGAGTTGACATCGGATCGGATGCCTACATGGCGTCCGAACACGAGTGGGGGTGAGAGGGACTAGGGCGCCGAAGGAGCAATCTCACCCCGCACACTCTCACCCCACTGTGGACATTTTTCTCCGTAGACGACTAACTTCTTTGTATATCAGTTGTTACTCACAATTTTTGTGAGTAGTAAGGAGAATTTTCTTAAGTAATTATTTAGTAATTACGAACTTTTGTGGTCTTAGTAAATTTAAAATGACTAATAATTGTCAATACTGCTGATAATTTTCCTACGTAGTAACTCAACACATTCTCTGTAATACTTGCAAAATTTGCGAGTATTACCGTTGTATAAAGAAGTTCGTCGATCTAAACAAAATGCTAGTAGTATAACGGGCTGACAGTGCACTGGCCGCTTACGGACGCACATCCGGCCGGTGCCGAGCCAAACGGTTCTGCTGCTAAAGGCTCTGCTGCCGCCCCGTGGCCCCGAGCAGCGGCGGGCCCCGAGCGCCGTGCGGGTAGGCAATGTCCGGGCGGCGTCGCAGCCGTGCGCGCGCGCTGCCTACCAGCACGGCGCTCGGGGCCCGTCCGCCCGCGCCCGCCCCGGCCCCGCCTCCTCCTCGACCGGCAATAAGACACCGGACGACACGCGCAGCACGCACCAAACACCGCCCCGTGCTGTGCTTAGGCCCGCCACGCCCCGCCACGCCGGACCTTGGCAGAGCCGGGCCGCTTTACACCGCGCCATGCCGCCTTTTGCCCAGGGCCCGCCCCGAATTCACGAGCAACACAAGGGAAGGGGGGCGTGGCGGGGCGTGGCGCGGCGGAGTGAGTGGATCCGCACGCGAGAGCTTTGGCCTCGCCCTTGTGCAGATGTTGCTGCTCTTCATTCCCTCGGAGCTCAGCAGCAGCAACACGCTCGCTTCCCATGCACTGGTGCTGCTCTGCTCCGGGCCGGCGCGGCGCCGCGTCACACACAAGCAGCAACAACGCCGCGCCGGCCGGCCGGCCGCTCACTCTCGCCGCGATGACCCCAATCAGAGTGTTTTGTTTGACTCTGGGCGCACTGGCCTGCATGGCGCGGCGTGGCGTGGCGCGGCCCAGTAATATCGCTCGCAGCATCTCTCACCCACCTGACGGCCTGACGAGCCTTCTGGCCGCCTCTGGCCGCCTCTCTGGCCCTGAGCCGCGGCCAAGCCACGCCGCCGCGCCCGCCCGGCCCTCCGCACCCGACTGGACTAGTCTGACCCACTCCAAGCTCGCCACGCTTTATATACTCTCCGGAGTGAGAGGAGAGAAGTACGACAATAAAAGGAAAAATTAATAATAGAAATACAACGGGGGTCCACAGATCGAGGCAAAATCGCCGAAACGCAAAGGGGAGTCCGAATGGCATACAGACAGGGTGGCCTATGGCCCAACATACCCGAGGAGGACCATTTCGTAGTTAAACTGCACCGCATGCAGCCGTGGGGGTGGGCTTGCTTACCGTGTCTCCTCGACGCACCTATGGCCCCTTGCAAGTAGGCAACACGTCCAACAAGCCTCTGTAAAGTATAACTACGAAATTTCACGGGGTCTGGGGGCCATCCTGTGGTGCTCCCGCGTGTTGTACGCGACTTCTCTGACCCAAAGGCGCGTCTCTCTAGTAAGCCTCCTGAAAGATAGGCAATTTGTGCTCCAAAACCCCTGTGTGTAGTAGGCAACTCCAGGTTCATCTCGCCCTCACTGACACCCGGACCTATACCATGCTTTGGCCGAGTGAGAGAAGGAGAGGGCGTCCTATGTACGTTGCAGATAAACCCGTAGCCTTATCAGAGTACGCATGACATGGTTTGCTTGCCACCGCTGCTGCTTGTCGGGTATGTTTACGCACGCATGACTGATGCACATGGCATGCACACATACGCACACATGGCTCAGTCAGGTGCAGCTTAATCACAACCACAACCACAGGTCATTGTATGTATGCAGTGATAAATAAAGGGTTATAGTCATCAACAGAATGGAGTTTTCTAGCGCAAGTTGTGCACTTTACAACGTATTTAGCTTAGTAGATGTTGCCTAAAAGTGTTCAGTTTGAATACTGTGCACCATTAAGAGTTCTAAGGCGGTATCAGCCGAGGCGATGGCAGTCGGATACGACACAGCCAAGAGTGGGGCTGACGGCCGCGCTACACATAATGAGGCGGCACACCATAAGGCACCTTAGCGCGGCTCCAGGCGCGGCCGGCCAGCCCCGTGGGAGAGTCATGAAAGCAGTGCCGGAGGGTTCCGCACATTCCTGCCGGCCTGGTTGGTCCGCTCGCCTTCGCTGGCCGGCCATACCGCGCGCCCCGCGCCGCCCAGGCTTTTGTTCCATTTTCTCATCCAGCTCAGCTCGACGGGCCGCGCGTCCGCCCCATAGTCCAAAGCCGGCCGGGCAGAGGGCACACGCATGAACGTGGGTCCCTCCTGTGCACTGGAAAAACAAAGGTGCTACAGCAGTATTGCCTTTTGTGGAGGCACTAAAATTGCCGAAAATAGCAGCTTTGGAAGCCCAGTCACTGTCAAGAGACGCCATTTCACTAACGCCTCTCAGCCCGTCAGTGACATTTTACAAATAAACAATGGACTCGTTTACACAGCAGTGAGACTGCATTTGCAATTATTCCTGGATTTTTTTGTGAAAATTCCTGCTGTGTAAACGAGATTATTGTCTATTTGCAAAAAGTCAGTAACGGGCTGAGAGGTGCCCTAAGAAGGCATTAGATGGCACCTTGGTTTTTTCCGCCGTGGGAAATACAGGGGCAACGCACCTTTGCAGAAAACCCCCGAAGGTACTTTTTAAGACGTCAAGTCCCATGAATCAAATTAGAGGGGTGGCGTTTTCCAGCAAAGCATTATTGGCCACCACACGTGGGACGACTCAAACGTGTTAAGAAATAGTTCACCGATCCGATATTATCACGTAACCCATAGCACACAGCTAGCCGGGCCAGGGCCGCTCTGCGCCACCCGGAGAAAGTGTCAAAGAAGAGATAAGGGTGGCTGCGGCCACCGCCAGGGCTGCTGTACGCAAGGCGCAACGGCATGTGACCCATATGGACCCCTATCGCGGGCCCGGCCGGTGAGCCGGGGTGAGGAGGGTCAGTGCGGCCGGCGGCGGCTATGGGCGCCAGGCAAGGCGCGCACTCTGCACGTGCGATACCCTAGCAAAAAAATTAAAAAAAAACGCCCATACTCTTGCGATTATTCTTTAAGATTGTGCAAAGTTTTGAGACACAACATGAAAGCATTTAGTTAGATTTTTTACGCGCTGCGCCAGTCTGTTTTAAAAACTTGTTCATTGGAGCTTAACGAAGCTGAACTTTAGTTAAAACGGCTCTCAGTGTGGGAAGAGCGGGTGGAGATGACTAGGGGGTCGGACTGGAGGGGGAAAAGATGACGTCTGCTCGTTGCGCTGCAACGAGCAGACGTTGGCCATTGGGCAAGCAGTTGTCCGGGACAACTGTTACAATAATTTTGCGGCATTTCCCCCAGCGAATCCGTAGAATTTTAAGTAGATCAATATTATGAACGCTTCACGCGCATAAAATGCCAAAAGTAATTATGGGATCATTGAGAAGATACGTCCGTTTTTATCCTGCCATTCTGCTTTGCCAAAGCATCGTAGCTCCATATGAGTGATGGTTTTCGATCATCGCTCCTTATGAGCGATGGTCTGCGTGACTCCTACATTTTCAGTGTAGATTCATTTGACACAATACCAAAATTGCTATTTTAATGAATTTAAAAAAGAAACAAATTCTACATGAAAGCCGTGCTTGTTTTACTTAAGTCTTATTATTTTTTAAAGCAGACGGGTGGGGTGAATTCGCGGTGTAACTCCGTTACAGTATTCCCTCATGTCTAAGAGGCGCCCAGAAAGCCTAAGAAAATGGTAAGTGACTTAAAGGTTGGGCCACAGGCCCGACTAAGCGCTGTAAGCAGGCCAAGCAGGCTCGGCACCTGCCGAATGGAGTTGCCTGTGGAGTGAAGTGAAGCTGGCAACTGTGCTTGGTGGGAGGGCGGGCCTGCTTGTCCTCAGATTCGTTCGCAAATTACGAGACCTATGGTCTCGAAGTGAAGTGAAGCTCAGCGCCTGCAAGGCTTGGGGTAGGCCACCCCGCAGCACACGCATGCTCTGCACAGGCAAGACATTGCCTACCCACCAGGCGTTATGGCAGCTAGTTAGGGGCCCCATCTAGCTTGGGGTGAATTTTGAAGAAATGCAGTTGGGTGGGTGAATAGCGGTCCATGCGCTTCTCCATTGAATGTAAAAGAAAGAAAAACGAACACAATCACGCACCTAAAAAATAAGTTCTTGGATCAGTAGTACAGGCAGGAGCTGCTAGTAGACGCAGCCCACCGCTTACTACACTACCTGAGGGAATTGAGACCACTTTAATCGGGCAACAATGCATATGAGGAAGCTGATTCGCTCCAATGGTTAGACTATAGTGCGTGCACCGGGCTCGCGGAGGGTTGCCCACTCGCTAGGGCGCCGCAACTGTCTCAGACGATGTCGGCAATAAACCCATTCACCTGACCAACCGTTGACCGTTGTAAAACTCTTCACGCCCCCTGGTGGGAAACTGGACGCATAACAGATTCGACAACATAACGACACACACACACTTGCCGACCATCTCCTCCTCCTCCTCTCCACACGACAACACAAAGTGCGTTACCTAACGCATGTAAAACACTCGACCAGCCCGGCGGTGGCAATAAAAATAATGTAAAAAGCGTTGCGTCACACACACACACGCTATACACGCTGCACCAACGCACCTGCCGCGAGCGCGTTGAGGGGCCGCAGGGCCCGGGCCCGGCTGGGGCTCGGGCTGGGGCTGCTGGGCTGCTGCGGGGCCTGCTTGTACACCGCCACGCCGCGCGCCGGGCCGCGGGCCGCGCCGCCGTGGCCCCCGTGGCCGCCACACAGCTGCAGCCGCTCGGCACGCACCGCCATCCTAGCTCATCTGGAACAGAGAGCAACGACATCACCATCACAATCACACACACACTGCCGAATTTTAAGTTATTGTCACTTGACGAAAATGTCACAACTTAATTTCTACTCTAGAATTTGTTTCGTCGCAACAGGTGAGACGATTGTTTCGTCACTTGACAACTCAGTCGTAAAAGGGTGAATATGTAACAGTTTGTCACAAAACTGTGAGAAAGCGGTACGGCGAATGGGTCATCACAAGTGACGGAACGGTTCGCCACGATGTGACGAATGGCTCATCTCAACCGTTGTGACAAACCATTTGTCTCAACATTTGTTCGTCACGTGACAATTCGGTTTTACAATGCACACACACACACATGCAAGTGCAGCGCGAGAGTGCGCGGAATTGGTTACGGCGCAGCGCGCAACACAATCGCCAATTTCACCGGCAGCGCGCGGGGCGCGCGGGGGCCTTTTCGTCGCGCGTCCTGCTGCCGCGTACAGGCACCGGCAGGGGGAGCCTTTCATGCAGATGGACGAACACCGGCATTTGCCAACAACAATCCATCTCATTTCTCTCTCTCTCTCGGTGCGTGCGGCGCCGCTACCGGTCTTCCCCCGCCCCCGCGCCTGGCGTGCCGTACCGCGGGGAGCTTTCCGGCTCGTTTGGGCGCGCGGCGCGCGCGGTCGGTAGCAAAACAAAGGCCGCAGCGGGTTGGCCGTTCGTCCGATTCGCTTCGCCAGGCAGTAGGGTTGGCGCAAAGCTCCAATGAGTCGTTCTTAATTCCGCACTTTCACAAGGGACACTACCAACCGTCACACCACGAAACAGCCGCAGCCACCACCACCACCACCACCACTACGCTGTCCGTACGCCTTTTACCTCTTCACGTTTCGGTGCCCCTCTCCCCCCCTCCCACTCCCTTTTTCCCAACCTCTGCACAAATTCATCGCACGCGTGCACTTCCGGCTTCCGGAGCGAGGCACTCTATTTCCAGCGTACTGCTGCTACGCGCGGCGGATGGCAGGACGGACGGTCAACTGCCGCCCTGGCTATTCCCTGTCCGGCCGACGGACAAGGGACAGCCCTCGCGTACGGGAGCGGCACTGACAAAAATCTTTAAAGACTGGGCAAACATTTGCTAGGAGCAGGAAAACCTTAAGCGAGAAATAAACATTTATCAACCTTGTAAATTGGGTTAGAGTTTAAGTCGTACAAATTAAAGAAACAAATCCAGTAAGTGTATACGGTCAAAAACTCCACAGCCGATTCAAGACTTTTGCATAGCGCATAGGCAACTTCATTTTCCTAACCGTGGGTATTCGGTTCACAAGAATTGTTGACGTTATTTTTTTAAAAAAAAATTATTTGAATGTTAAAGTGCTTATTTTTGTTTCTTTTTTTTTTACCGCGATTCAACACGCGAGCACGACGAAACCATACCTGTCAGGGTTGAGAGTTGTGACCCTAGACTAGGTTGTCCAAAGGATGCCCATGAGCCCATGCCCGCCACGCGGTGCCCGCTGAGAGTCCCGAGGGAAGGCACGGCCGCGGCGTGGGGCGGCGTAGCGCCGAACTGATGGGGGCGCGCCTCTTAACCTCTCTCTCTCTCTCTCTCTCTCTCTCTCTCTCTCTCTCTCTCTCTCTCTCTCT